CGCGATCTCGTTTACCACGCAATCGTTCGAGCTCTGGCTCAATATCTGACGCGAGCAAAACGGCAGAACACAGCGAGGAACTACTGCCACCATGTCCTAGACCACGTCGACTTGAACCACTCTCACCGCGGGCTTCAGCAAGTTCCCGTTTTAATATCTGCACCTGCGCCTGGAGCCCCGACTTTTCAACTTCACAGGCCTCTAAACGCGCAGCTTTTTTAGTGATTTCCTAAATTAAGAGTCGCATAATTATAATAAGAATTACATTTTTTTTATCGCAAAAACGATAAGCTTACGTCATGAATACGTAAAATAACATCTTCTCGATATTCGCAAAGTTGATCCAGCTCTTTTAGACGTTGTTCAAGATCAAGGACCTTTATCCGAAGCTGTGCAGGTTCCATGGTAGATAGTTTTTCGGCCGATTCACTGGCTGATCGCTTTTCTTCCACAATCCATGGAGGAAGGGCAGGACCAATCAGGCGGTTACTAAGCTATAAGAATAGATTATTCCTAGTAGATTAAAGAACAAACTACAAGAGAGTATTCGAGATAAAACTTACAGGATCAACTCTGGTTTTTTTATCAACGAGTTCTTTTATTCGCGTTTCAAGAACTGAACATTTATCTAAGAGAGACTCAGTTTCTTCTATTTGCTTTGATAGCTAAAAATGAAAAATATAAAAATAAAATGTTAGCATGGCTTAAAGCACAAAAAAACAAAATTTAAGAGTTGCGACAAACTAGTCTATGCAAGAAGTTAAAGGTTAATAACAAGCTCAATCAGGAATTTTTATTGGCAGGATGTACGACCAACGAGACCAGACAATCCCATCGGAGAAATTAACTTGCGCCAACTTTGAAAGACATTATCTGAATGGCAGACTATGTATACTCTCAAAGGGATCAAATATGATGACGAAACCAGTAGATATAAACAATTCTAACGAGTATAATAATTTGATTTGAGTTGATAGACGTCTGAAACATGGAAAAGCTAATTTATTCAAATTATGACAGATAATTGGACTTAATAAAGAGGACTGGATCAATCCATCCCAAATTGGCATGTAATGCCTTGAACTAAACAGATCATCTTAAAAAGTAAAAGATTTGCTTTTGTATTAGATAAAATATCTACTAACTTTGTCCTCCATTTCTTCCTTTTTAACTCGCATTTCATCAACAGACTTCTCCATTTCTCGCCTTGTCTCTTTAGCCTCAATGACCTCTAATTCCGCTCTTTGAATCTCAGATTTGAAAAATTCATTAGCAGCATTGATGCCTGATTCTCCTATTGATACTGACCTAAAGAAAGAAAAAAATGATGATAAGGAAATAAAAACGGCGCGAAAAAAGCAATTATTAAAATTACTCATTCGTCTGCTCTGATAACAGTTTATCCAGCAGTTCCGTTTTGGCGGCAAGCTGATGTCTGAACTTTTCACAATCAGCAGCTCTTTCTAAGGCTTCCTGAAGTTGTTCTTCCAACTTTCCACATCGATGAGATAATCTGTCACGATCATCAGTTGTATGAATCAACTTTTCCTCCAAATCTCTGCTGATTTTGGTTGTCTTCTCTATTATTGAATCTTTCATCTAGGACAAAATTCAATATTTAGTAAAGAAAACATCATTTAAAATCAAATATAGCTATGGTTCAGTACCTTGCACATCTTTTCGGCATCACGAGCGCGTTTTTCACATTCCCTTGATTTGTTTTCTTCTGCC